CGTTAGTAGTTGTGAGTCACAAACGCTGCGTATATTCCGTGTGCAAGAGAGACGATGCTCCGTTGTTCGCGGAGATTACGTCCATGACGAATATTTGCAACGTGGCTGATGATAAACGTCTAAGCTTGGAAGCTTTGAACAGCTACGGAGGATGGTTATCAGCAATCCCTGTGGTCAATTTTTCCTGTCTGATGGTGATTGGGAACAAAATTAGCTTAAAAAAGAGAGTATCTGCTCTCTTAATAACAAAACTTGTTAAGAACGAATACTCTGATTCTTTTGTTGAGTCTTTGAAATCGAAGTATCAGGAAGAGAATCCAGAGGGAATTGAAGAGTTAAAAGACCAAATTAACAAGCAATTTGTGGACACTTTGGATTTTGATGAGCAATAAACTACTGTTGTGTCCTTCTCGTGGATATACTGAAAAAGAACGACTTCAATACTTGTTACGTTCTGACAATATCTATGCGCCTTACATCGATCGTTGTTGGAGAAGTTTGATAAAATTTCGTCCTTATTCCGTTTCTTCTTATCTTTCTTGTCTTCAAAGCATAGTTTGTTTATTGAATGCTCGAAACTGTGAAGCTGTTACTCAGACGATAGAGGCATTTCATGGATATTTTTGTGAAAAAATTTTTGTCGAATTGGAAACGGAAGGCGTTTTTCGTTTTGTTCAGGCTCACTTTGCACCTTCGGAGATGAAAACAATTTTGGAAGAAGTTTTAGGCGAATACTTAGTGCATTTATTTACAAAAAGAGAGGCTTTAAATGCATTGAAAAAGAAATTAAAAAACGTCATTGTTGAGCCCTGAAAAGATGAAAGGTGGTCTCAATCTTAAAATCCGGGTCAGACCAATACAGCTTGTGCAAATTTCCAAAACTGTCTTCAATGAGAAGATATTTGGGATTGACTGAAGCAAAACAGTACTTTAGCAAATCTCGCTCCAATAACTCGAAGAAAGAGTCCCGATCCAGATAATGCCATCTGGGATATACTTTTAGCTTCCAATAAGGAAAAACTAAAATTTGTTGTGTTTCTATAATTTTGAAAACAACTTCTTCGTCGCTGGCATAAAGGAAACAAACGTCATTGTGGAGATCGTTGTCTTCTAAGAGCTGCTGCCAGTTAGATTTGGGACCATGCAAATAGAGCCACTGTTTGACTTGATCGTAGGAAGGAATTCGAATCATTCCAAATCAGGTCTCGTTTTATGGGAAAAACAGAAAGTTTGATGACAGACAAAACAGGTTCTAACAAAGAAACGATATCCACGAGCTCGAAAAACACGGCAACAATAATGCGAACATTTAGGACAGAAAAAGAAACAGGAGAAGAAAATCTCTGCGTAAAGATTGTTATTTAGTTTGTTCGCCACCGATGTATTGACCAAAAGACGGTAATCTCCGTTAGTGACGCATGAAGAACCGTCGCGAAACAGAAAGGAAATCAATAGCATGAAAGTTTCAGGTTCCGTACGAAAGGAGTCACATAGTTCTTTGAAATTTTGCAGGGAAGAAATGGCAAGTGTTTCCTGCTTCCATTTGAAAGTTGGCTTTCGGTTCATAAAGAAAAAATGGAAAGCGAGTGTCCTTTTTTTTTCACAAAGATAAACCTTTTGATGGATTTTGGGAGACGATTTTGGGGAATAAAACTAAAATGAATCAAGGAACGCTCATAATGGTAGCGGCTCTTATTTTGGTTGTTGGAGGCGCAGCTGTGGGAGGGTACGTTATATACGAAGATTACTACGCTACTTCGTCCAGTAAATCATCCACTACATCGGCACCATCTTCTTCTTCATCTTCATCATCGTCGTCTTCCACTAAAACTTCTTCTTCATCTTCTTCGACTGCTCCATCGTCATCGTCATCGTCATCGGCTTCTTCATCCTCTTCATCCTCCTCTTCATCGACTTCTTCGTCATCCTCTTCATCGACTTCTTCATCCTCTTCATCCTCTTCTTCCTCCTCTTCTTCATCATCGTCATCATCGTCATCATCGCCATCGGGTTCTGATACCTACTCGAATCCTGGTGTTTATTCTTGGAAATGCCCAAATGGCGTTTCCTCAGTTAGTGTTGTAGCGGTTGGAGGAGGAGGAAGCGGAGGTGTTTCCGGCAGTTACACAACAAATACGCAGTTCAAGTCATACACGACTCCAGGGACGTACACTTTTACTGTTCCTTCTGGTGTGACTCAAGTAGATGTAGCAGTAGTAGGAGGTGGTCAAGGAGGTGATGGAGGGTACTGCTCTGTCTTTGGATACTCTGGAAATGGAGGTAGCAGTGGAGGTTACTCACGAGCTACTCTGAACGTTTCTCCTGGTCAGAACGTGAGTGTAACTGTTGGAAGTGGAGGCGCTCCAGGAAACAATGCTTATTCTCCATCTTCTGGAGGAGCAGGTGGCACAAGTAAATTTGGGTCTGTGGTAGCGACTGGAGGACAACACTGGGATCAACCGGGTTCCGGGTCAACTTCTGCTGGTAAAGAAGGTTCGCAAGGAACTACTAGTTATGTAGGAGGAACGGGTGGAGCTTCTGTCTATGACGGTTATGGAGCTGGTGGTAATGGAGGCTGTCTGGGAAGCGACAGTGACACCAATCCAACTTCCGGTGGAAACGGAGCTGTGATTGTCCAGTACAACGCTACCTTTGCTACTTGCGGTGGTGGAGGCAGCTCCGGAACTTATGTAAATAGCAAGAGCGTCTCTGTAACTCCAGGAACTTCTTATTCCGTGGTGGTAGGATCTGGTGGTTCAGAAGGGCAGAATGGGGAGGCTAGTTCTTTCGGTTCTACCTTGGTTGTCGCACCGGGTGGACTATCTGGAGGAGCTGGTAGTAGTTCTGCAGGTTCAGCTGGAGCCTCTCCAGGAAAAGGAACCCCAAGCGAAGATTCAATACCTGGTAACGCTGGGAGTGGTTCTTCCGGAGGAAGCTCAGTTTACCAGAGTTATGGAGCGGGTTCTAACGGTGCGTGCGGTTCTTCCGCCCCTTCATCTGCGGGAAACGGCATAGTTTCCATTACGTGGTAAGGTAGTTGCTCAACTGGCCCATGGATAAAGTCTGCCCTTTCCGATAGAAATCCAATAGCAAATTATGAAATTGCAAAAAGCGGGCTAAAGATTTGTTCCAAGAGAATTGGGAAGCGAATTCGACGCCCTGTTTTCCCATTTTCTCACGAAGGGATTTATTTTGAAGAATTTTTTGAATTTTGTCCGCTACGGAAAAGGCGGGATCTGAAGAATGATAAAGAAAACCTATTTTTTCATCTTGGTCTCGAACCAAAGCCTCCGTTCCGCCTTCGTTAGCCACTACTACCGGGGTTCCGCAGGCTAGACTTTCTAAAAGAGAAAGCGGATGGCACTCTCCCGTTCCAGGTACTAGGGAGACATCGGAAGCCCGATAAGCCTGAGCGAGCTTTTTTTGAGAAACGGACCCTTGTAAAAGAAAGTTATGAGGAGCTTTCCTTTGTAAAGTTTTTCGAAGAGGTCCATCTCCAAAAACTTGGAAAGTGACTTCAGGAAGGATTTGAGCCAATTCGATAACCAGGTTAAAGTTTTTTTCAGGAGCTAAGCGCGCCACAACAATAACTGTTCCATGAAGACTGTTCATTTCATATTGTTGTTTAGGATAGAATAGCGTGTCATCGACTCCCAATTTCCAAAGAACAAACTTGTTTGGATCTTTCCTGTGGTCAACTGTCAGTAGTCCATCGCATATGCTTCTTTCTATTTTCAGATAGCAAAGAAAAGGATATCGAACAAGTTGCAGGTTATAGCAGCTGATCATGCGTTCGGTATCCGTATGAACGGCTCCGGTAATGAGCGGATTTTTCGTTCCAAACAATCTACAGGCCTGCTTGAGAAGTAGGGCCCAAAAGGAACAGAAGCCCGGTTGAACACAGTGAATGAAATCAGGTTGAAAGTGGAGCACCTTTCGAACGATTGGATAGGAAAGCATGATAAATTTCAAGGAAGGATAGGTAAAGAAGATGAGAGGAAGACCAAAACTTTGGATTCTGAGACTTTCCAATTCACCGTTTTCTCCAAAATCGTCTCGATAGCCATCGGGTGAAATTATCATTATGCTGTGAGAGGAATCTCTAATCATCGCTCGAATAAGATTTCTATAGCAAACGGAGACTCCATTGGAGTCGTAAAGAAACGGCTCAATAAGAAAGAGGTACTTTGGCATTTTATGTGGTATTTTGAGCGCCCTTTAATCTTCCAGAATCGCTAATTTGAGGATTTAAAGGCTTAAAAGTGAGAACGTCTGCTTTTGAAGTTTTCTCTTTTCGTGGTTTGCGGTAATGGACGAGCGCATGAAAATTGAAAACTTGTTGTCGCCTCTTTATTATTCTTCTGTGATTCATCTAGATAAGGATACTTTGTACGGTGTTCGCTTCCTGTTTCGTGATGCTGACTTTTTCGTGACCAAGTTTGAGAACTGCATTGTACGTGTTTACCCTTCTGGGCTTACACAGATCACAGTTAGTGCTTTAAATGAACGAGAAGCTGTCACTAATATGGAGAAATGCAAAGAATGGCTTAAGGAACGCAAGCTGACACAAGTTTATCCTATTCAAAGATATTGGTTGAGAAGCCATAGAATGAATTCCACAAATCTGTTTCCTCGTCTTGAAAGTAAGAATTAAACGGAAGGTTGGGTGGTGGCGCTGCACTTCTTTCTTGAACGATGCGTCTTTCCAGTTTGACGAGTTGGTTTTGGGCTCTGCATAAAGAAATGTCTTTTTTTTCCATTTTGAGAAAGAGCCAAGGATTGTAACTTCTTTTGGTAGTATAGGGCATTAGTCTCGTGGCAGCTTCAGTTGGAGTCCTTGCTACATGATAATAAGCAATGTTCAGTCCTTCTACTTCCACACAAAACGAATTATTGATGATGGTGACTTTGTAGACCTTTGTTTCTCCATTTGGACTGAAAAACTCACGTATTATTTTTCTCCCTTGAAAGTTATGGTCCTTATCACCTTCTTCCAATATTACGTACTTCCAATATGTTCGCTTAACCACCATTATCTGCCCTTCAAAAAATTGGATGAGCTGTTTTACCCAGATAAATTTAAAGAAAAGGGGGTCCGCATTCGTGTCTTGTTCCATTCGACAGAAATTTTCGTATGTATATGAAAAATTCCCAATGTGAGTTCTACGATTTCAAATCCAATATCTGATTTTTTGAATCGTGCTTCAAAAGGAGACGTTTATGGTTTCCTTGTTTCCATTTGGCGAGTTTTTTGAGAACGTGGTATGGTTCGAACGCGCAGTGCTTGCAAGAAAGATTTAAATAGAAGCGTCCCTGCTATGTGCACAGCTGAAAAGAATGAAGGAAAGGTGAAATCTAGTTTATCAAGGAAACCCCTCGTTCCTTTCAAAGTGGTCAAACAGATTTTCAAGGAGGTCCTGCCTCCGCACGTTGGTGTTTCGTTGGGAGCTATACAGAGCTTACAATTGGCAGGAGAAGAGTATTTGCGAGACATGTTTAGAGAATCTTCGAAGATTTCCGCCATTGCGAATCGTACTACGGTGTATGTCGAAGATTTAAAATTGAATCGTAGATTTTTTCATCGAAAGTAAACTTAATAAACGACAGGCCGCTTCGTTTGCTGCTTTTCGGTTGAATTATTTTTGGTTTAACATTTCATTGTTTTGGTACTTTTACGTTAAAGCATTTTGCGCCTTCTCAAAAAAAAAGAGAAAGATGTCCTTCAAACGTTATTCCCTGTTCCCTATTGTGGATGAACTTAGCTACTCCTTTTATAAGAGACAAGAAGCTAGCATATGGACCAGTGCAGAAATGGATTTTAGTCGCGACCTCGAAGATTTCGAAAAGTTGGACGTTGAAGTTCGAAATATTCTTATGAATGTACTTGCCTTTTTCGCTTCCGGTGATGGTATAGTTAGCAAGAATATAAGTTATCGTTTCATGAGGAGCGCTCCCAATTTTGAACAAGTGGCTTTTTACGCTGCTCAGCTTTTCATTGAGACAGTTCACGCCGAGACTTATTCTTTAATAATTTCATCTTTGATTCGTGACACGGAAGAGCGCAATAAACTCTTTTCTGCAGGAGAAAACAACTTGGCAGTGAGATCTAAGGAGAAATGGATGGAAAGATTCATCGAAGACGATACCGTGGAGGAATGGGAGAGAATTTTGGCTTTTGCTTGTTCAGAGGGAATTTTTTTCACGGGAGCCTTTGCGGTCATTTTCTGGATTGGTGAAATGCGATCCATGCAGAACCTTATTTTCGCAAACATCCAAATTAGTAAAGACGAGGCGTTACACTGCGAGTTTGCCGTGGCTCGATTGCTTCAAATGGATTGGAATGAGGACAGGGCTCTTGAAATAATAAGAGAAGCAGCTGAGTTGGAAAAGGAATTCATGAAGGCGATCATTCCCGATAAGGAACTTTGTTATGGAATGTCTCAAAGTAAGATGTTAAGTTATATCGAGTGGATGGCGAATCGTTTATGTAATATGCTGGAAATACCAGTTGCCTATTCAGAAGTTACAAAGACGCCTTTTTCCTTTGTCGATAAAGCGGTTGCCTTGGAGAAAATCAATTTCTTTGAGGTAAGAGCTGCCAATTACAAACGTTTCAATGTGGACGAAGCTCTTGAAAAAGCTCGATTTTTATTCTAAGAAGAAGAAGATGACTCTTCCTTGCTGCTGGTTAAATAAACATGAATATTTGTTCCTAGAATAAGTTTTAGCGTTTTTCTTTGGTTTCTATCGAGTTGAGAAAAAAATATGTATCGGTCGTTTTTTAGCACAGCATAGTAGTGCGGAATGAATTCTGTATTGGATGAAAGTCGAATTGGGTCAATGCTGCTGCCTGAAAGTTTCAACAAACGACGAATATATTCATGTTTCGGAATAATTTGTCCCAATTGGCTCAGCACTGGCAAGGGCAAGTTCGATTGAATTAAGCCAAAGCATGGATTTGTCATAACAAACAAGGGTCCTTGAGATAGTCGAACGATTCTTCCTTTGTCCAAATGATGATAAACAAGGTCTCCAAAATAACTGGTAAAGAAAAAAGAGCAAGGTCCTAAGACTTCTTCTAGTGCCTGAAGATTTTGGCGGCAAGGTCTTCCCGAAAAAAACACCAAACGACCTTGTTCATCGCTAAGAGCGAAATCCGCCTTTGCGGAGGGAATGAAGGACATCGTTTTCAAAGAAACCGCTGCATGAGGATCGTCTACAGCCAGTTGAACCACTGCAGGGAAAGAACGCATTTTTTGTTTTTCTTCAAGTAGACTGAAGGCTATTTATGGGGCGAGTAAATCTTTTTTTTGGATTGGTTCTTAAAAAAAAAACAATAGAAATATGTACGTTCGGAACCTCTGCACGAACCGAAAGATTAAGTTGCATGGTCCTACTTACAACAGACTTGTTAGAGAAGGAAACACTCACTGCATTGATGAAACGATGATTTATTCAGAAGATACTAGTCCCGAAAAAGGCGGAGGAAACAAAGGGAAGTATTCCTCTTCTTTGCTCTGTTGCGGACATTGTTCAGGAGTCCCGGGGTCTTATCCAGTCAATTCTCCGGGAAGAGCAGCTGCAGCAATGGGTTACGCTAGATTCGCAAAGGACCCGGACTCTATTCGGAGATGTGTCTTAGCTAGTGGAATGTTGAAAACGAGTAAGTACGCTTACCTTGGAAAGGGATCTTGTCAGCCGAAACCTTGCTAATGAATAAGAGAACCACGACAAAAAGGACACACAAATCCGGAATGGCGGAAGTAAGGAATGGAACAAGTGAAATGAATTTGGTGGGTTTGATGGTCGAGCTGGACCCATCGGTCCACGCTGTCTTCTTGTCTTCCGTTTTTTCCAGCTACTGCTATTCCTTCTTCAAGACAAATAGGGCAGACTAATAGCAGATCGTCCGTTGACTGAGGAAGATGGGACGAGTGCTCGAGAAAATTTTTCAAGTCTTTTTCGAATCTGCGCTTTGCTGACTGCTCTCGAATTCGAATGATAAGCGACAAGAAAAATTCAGCTGCGACTGTCAAGCCTTCAACGAGGAGTTCTTGGAACGTCAGCATCAGTGAGCGCTCCTATCACTCGCAAGTAAAGGTTTTTCAGTTCTACCTCGTTAAGTCCTCGAATAATAATTTGGACTCTTTGTGCTGGATGAAAAGTCGAATGAAAAGCTCTCAGAATCGTAAGCGCTCTGTAATCTTCGAGTTTGTCAAGGTAGTCTCTTTCGTCGTCATAGGAATCTTCATATAGGATTTCGCGGATGCGGAGAAGGTTCTGTGATAACGTTTCATCACCTTCTTTTGAAGCAAATGTGGCTAAAATCGTAATAGTGTTTGCAAAAGCAACTACGAGTTGATCCATGTCTCTACTAACTGTTTCTATATTAGCGGGGTCTTCATTTTTCTCGATTTGTTCGAACTTCGATTGTATTTCAGACGTTTCTTTCAAGATTTTCTCGGAAAGTCCGAAACATCTCGCCTGCGCGAGTGAGACTGCCGCTAGATTAGCCAGCATTTCAGCTGTTTGCTGAATGGCGTCTTTAACTGTTGAACATTGCTCGGCAGGGTCGTCGGGAAGCACTTCAGGAAAGATTCGTCGGGTGTTCGCGGCCGCTTCTATCTGGTTTTCAATGGAATCATCGGCGTCA